TTTAAGGTTAAAAAATCTGTCTTCTCTCCCTTTTGATGGCTATCGAAATGGTTGATGAGTGGGGAAGGGAGTTTGGTTGTTAGATCTTGCTAGAACACCTCAAAGTATGGTAGATCCAAGTGGATCTATGTGAAAATTGGAAGAATTACGTGCTGATTTGATGCCTATTTCGAATTAGTTACTGTTCATATCTGGTTCTAAAATTTGGCATGCTTAAAGTACACTCTGTGAGCTTTAAATCCATGGGTAGAACACTTCATTTGGATATGTGTACGATTTATGGTGATTTTTCAAAGTTAGGGTTTAAAATCTGGAAACAGTGTTGAACTTTTGGGAGAGTGTCGAGTTCCGTACAATTCCGGTACTGTTCAGCATAGAATTGGTTCCTGAAACTATTTTTAATTTACGTTTAACTTAAGGAGCTTTCAGTGAGACTTGGAAGCACTCAATTTGGATTTTTCTAGATTTAATTATGAATTTTCAAAGTTGAGAAAAAAATTCTAGAGATTCTGCGTGAACAGTACCCGCGAACCAAAATTTCCAGATTTGATCTTCTTGAATCTAAGGCCATCTAAAGTTGTCCTAATTGACAAGAAATAGATCTTAAGGATGGAAAATGATAAGATTTATATTAGAAAAGTTAGAAAGAAAACCCTAAGACTAAGAGAAAGGGTTGAGGTTCAAGAAAGCTAGTCTTAAGCTTTATGTAATCTAATGGTCCTAATGGATTGTGTGATCATTATGGTTATGTTTAGGACCTTTGAAACATCCAAGAAGATGTTTGGTGATGTTGACCGAATGCTCACATGGTTGGAAAGTCAAGGGAGTCAAAGGGAAAGTAAGAGGAAAGCTTAAGGTGCAAGGTAGTGAACTTACCCTTTATGTGCTTGACATGGTATGCTCATGTGTTGGTTTGTATTTGTTGTTTGAATAATGTTGTGACATGATGATTGTTGCTGGAAATGCCGTTTTTAATATGTTCCCATGGCCATGCATTTTTATACCAAGCATAAAGCATGATGGCATGTCACTAGTTAAGTTTATGAAAAACTACATACCATACACTAGCATCCATCTTGTGCATGTATGTGGTAATGTTTGCTACTGAGATTCCCCGAATCTCACCCCTTCGTAACCAACCATTTAGGTCAATCAATGATGGGCACTAATGGCATGAGAAGCAAGGAGAAGAAGTGGAGAATTATTGATGCTAATGATTGATACTAATATTCAATGTATAATTCTCCTAGGTTATAATTGTGTTGTGAATGCCATGTATTTAATTATAAAGCTTATGGCATGTATAGGAATGTATGAGCATGAATGGGAAAAAGTAAGCCCATGTTAGGTATGCCAAAGAAATAAAAAGAATTAAAGTAAAGAGATGTTAAGGGATAAAACGTAGGTCCTGGAGCAGTTAGTTTTGAGCTTCAGTTTGACCTATCATATGAATAAGTTAAGCTACGAAATTTGGTATACTTATAGTGCACATCCCAAGCTTTAAAATTTGTGGTTAATCACCTCATTTGGATGTGTATACGAAGAGATGTGAATTTTCAAAATTAAGGCGGAGAATCTGAAAAGTCCAGATTTTACCAAACGAATAGTAATCTTAATCCAATAAACTGTACGTTTGAAGTGAGGATAAGTTCAGTTGAATATTTTTCCCTTAAAGAGCATTGAAAGAGCTTTCCATAGAATTTTGGAACACCTCCATACGATTTTTCTAGAATTAGTTATGATTTTTCAAATTTGGACCTGTAATATGAAAACTGGACAGTGAACAGTAATTTTCCGAAAATTAACGTCCAAATTGAAATTTTTAAGTGTAAGACCATCCAACATGGTTTGGAATGGTTCTAAATGAATGCTAAGGTACTATATAAGTAAGGTGTGACACATACTCTGCTGGGTAAGTTTAAAGATTTGCGCTCTAGGACAATCAAATTGAGAAGGTCCGAATTGAATCTCAATAGCCTTCGCTAAAGTTTGCTAATTTGGAATCTGACTAGCCCACTCTAACATTTGATACCATAGAAGAATGGTACCATCAAAATGAACAAAGGCTAGAATCAAACATTGCGGATCCTCAATATGATAGTATTTGAAATATTGCTCAATACGAAAGATCCAATCCAAAGCATCCGATCCATCAAAATGAGGGAAATTGACTTTAATCGACATGTAAGGTGACTGAGCAATGGAAAGTGGTTGAACGACAGGGGAACCCTCGAGAACCGTGTCAGAAGATTAACCTGATTTTTGGGAGAGTCCTTCAGCTTATTTTTGTGGAGAATGCAGCATGCACTCCAGCTGATCAAAATGACCATCAATGCGTTTGAAACGCCCATCCATCCGACCAAAACAGCTTTTAGCATCATCAATAAACTCATTCACCCTTTTTATGTCTGTTTGAAGTTACTTAAGATGCATGTTCTTGGCCATGGCAGGGGAGGTTCAATGAAAGCACTAAATGGTATATTCCCACACTACCTCCAATACACTATGCAAAAATGGAGCTGAATTTATATTATATCGAATGTCGTAATGGTAAGAGTCACAATATAGCTCATACAAATCCAAATATGAAATAACAATCAAATATGACAATCATAGAAAAAATGCAGAAGCAGGAACAGAAGATAGAGGTCACAACAAGGAAGAGAGGAAATCGTAGAGAGGGAGAAAATCCATCAAAATATTCCATACCCTTTTCCTCTAACCGTCTTTGTCTTATTATATTCATTCCACCTCATCAAGTTCTCGCATCTTCCAAGTTTTCTTCCTTACTTACTGGCTACGCCTTAATTGGGCTCCAATATTGTCTTAAGCAGAGCCCATGTCCACACTCGTAGGATCCGTTAGGCCTGTGTCGTGAACGTCTCACTATCACTGGACGCCACCTTGGCCATCACGTCATCCTCAAATATTATCAAGTCAAATGTGTCTTCTCCAAAATTTGAACTTGTGAGCACATCGGTTTGCCTCTAATCTTCTTGCCATTGAACTAAAATAAATCTACTGATTATTATTCTAAAACTAAATATATATTATTAAACTATAGTTTCAGTAGCAACCTTTAATGTCACTACTAAAAGTCTGTCATTCAACGTAACTTATTAGAGTTGCCGCTAAACATGAGAACTTTAGTTTCCATTCTAAAAAGTTGTTGCTAAAAATCAGACTTTTAGCGGCAACAAATAAGTTGTTGCGGAAGGACATATTTTTAACGACCACTTTCTAGAGTTATTGTTAAAAGTCATACTTTTATGAATGCTTTTGTTAGTTACTGCTGAAAATTTTCAGCTGAAAGTTTTATTTTCTTTTTTGTAGTGAAAATTAAACTGCCCAAAAACTAATCATGAAAAATACCGAAAATGTGTGCATGTTAGATGATTGATTATAACTTGTTGGGTTTTGTGTCAATTTAGAAGGGGCATGACATTGATCCCAATGCTTTCTAATCAATTAATGAACCTCTCATCATTTTATTTTGTTGAAATCCTCTGTCAACTTTCCCATCAATATATAATTCTGGTGCATGAATGTCATTGACCCTTCAACAAACACCTACTTACGATGACGCCCTTAGATAAATAATTAAATCTCTTAATTAGTTAACCAACAATAAATAAAAATATTGATAACAAATTATTATAAGTTCTAAATTTTCTTTTTCGTTATCCCTTTGGCAAGCAAGAGACGCGAACGGTTTTATTAGGGAAAATTGCCCATAACTATCAATTTGAGAATTAATTACTTAATGAGCCTTGGAATTTTGAAAAATGGTATGAGATTCTTCAGATTACCGATACTTCTTGTGTATGAAAATATATAACATTGGATTCAGGAATAATTGGACAATTAATTCTCTGAATAGGTATTTATGAGCAATTTACTTTAATCTTTGACCTCAAAGAATTTGTTCAAATTAGGTTATTTTTTAATATTGTGGGAAATGTTACATATATTATTGAATAGACACCACATCTTAATTAAAGTCAATATGATATTTTATAAACTAGTTTAATTTATGTAGTCTTGATCTCCTACTTGTAATTCAACTCTATGTCAAATGGGTCTTGTTTTTTATTTTAAAAAAACTAATTAAATCAAAACACAAATAATAAGAGATGATGGACTTCAACATTTTCTCTATTAATCCTGCTAAATAACCTTGGTAGAAAGAATAAAAGTAGGAGAGTTACTATCTATTTGAAATCTGACAACACTCTAATATATTATAAAACAGTTGGTAGTACACAGAATATCAAATAATTTTTTAAAAAGCAAATATTTAATCAGTTTGAACTAATGTTAAGGAATCAATAACTTATGATCAAAATGGGGTCATTAATTTCAACAAACAGAACTAAAATTATTCTCAAATTTCTTCTCATGACACCATATATAATTAGTTAATTAATTATGTCCACATTGTTACAAAGTACAAAATTAGCAATTAAGAATATATTTCTTGGAAGCCTCCACAAATTGGTGAAAGAAAATTTGGTGGCCTTTACGGTTGTTGGAAGCATCTCAACTTAATTGTTTCCAATTCATGAGATCATAATAATGTGGTCGATCCCAATCAACCTGTTAGCATTGAACTACTTTTCCGGGTAACAATTAATTATGGCTTAAAAAAACTTCTATTTTCTAAATTTAGGAAATTTAAGTTGAGAGAGTTTTACCTCTTATCTAGATTTTGATCTGGCTTGAATTTATATATCCCCGATGGCCCCACCATCATATGTATAGCTATGCTTGATGGGCCTCAGATGTTAGGTTAGGTTAGGTTGCATGACATGAGCACTAGATGGATTAGTTTTTCTTATGACCCATCACAATGCTTATTTTATTCTTGGAAATTAAATTTAGAACTAGGATAATATATATGTATATAACTATGCATAGTGGTTATCATATCCTGTCACATGAAAAAGAAGAAAGGGGCCAAGAGAAATTTCAATTATAACTCACACTGACAATTAGGTCTTATCTCTAACACCAAAACCTTCTCTTTCCACTTTCTCTCTGATACGGTACTACTACCTTCAGGCATGGCAGAAGAGAAGAAGAAAAAGAAAGTCGACAACAAAAAGCAAAAGGAGCACCAAGCTTCAAAGTTATTGTATTCATCAGATTTTTCATTCAATCCAAGCTCAGATGTAAAAGGTCTCCGATTTGGAGGCCAGTTCATCACAAAATCCTTCACAATCCGACGAGCAAGAACCCTAGAGCTTCTGAAACTCCTCTCTCTTCCACCACCAACCAATAATAACAATAGTAAGCCCAGAAACAAGCTTCTTGTTCCTTTCTCTTCAACCCTAGCTTTCATCCCCACAAACTTCACAATCTTAGCTTACCATGCTTGGCATACTCTCACGCTTGGCCTCGGCACCAAGAAGTCAAAGGTTGTCTTGTTCGTGTTTGAGAGCGAAGCGTTGAAGAAGAAAGTTGATGAGATTTGGCCATTGGAGATATCACTTGGGGAAGTGAACAAGAAGCTCATAAGGGGCCTTAAAGGGTTCGAGATGGCGAGGTTTAAGTTCAGGAAAGGGTGCGTGACTTTCTATGTTTATGCTGTTCGACAAGTTGGTGGATCAGGGTTTTCAAGTGTTGCAGATCTGAGACTTATTTTGCAGTCTGTGGTTTCTCTTAATGATTTCTTGGATCATACCGCTGTGCTTGCCATGCCTAAGCAGAGAAGTATCATGAGTTTCTCTCATCCTCTAGCCATGGCTCATTGATTAACTAATTAAGGGAAGTTATATTCATTTGCATTATTAATAATATTCATTACAAATAATCTAGGTCTTATGCTACTTAATTCTCTCTCTCTCTCTCTCTCTCTCTCTATATATATATATATATATATATGTCTTCTCTTAGAATTTTCTTGTGCTTTTTTTTAATAGTTAACTTTCTTAATATTCTTGCTGTTTCGTTGTGGAGATTTTGGGAGGCTTGTTTCACTTGGGAAGAATACGAACAAAATTTGACGACAAATATATATACATATATATTTTACTAGAATATCTCTGTGCTATAATTTGAGCATCCTTAAGTTAAGTTTTGGTCACATGGATGAAGAAAAACATTATTTTTAGAATAATCTATTGAGACTCAAAAATGCTCAAATTTGAATTTGTCAATAATACTTAATACTCCTCTTATCCGTAATATAATACTTACTTTATAGTGTAATTTGCAGGAGGAATATTAGATTATTGTTACCTAAAGAAAAACTAGTTGCTATAAAAAAGCATGCAGAGTTTTTAGAAATAAATAGCTTATAATGTGTATTTCGCACGCGCACACACATTTGTGATAGTTGTTGTGAGGACTAACTAGAAGGCATATGTTATCTCAGAGAGCTCTCGTTGCTTAGCTTTCCGTGATGGTTCAACGATGATTTAGCTTGGAAGCCATATATGGAGGTTGGTAATAATCATACCAATCACCAAACTTAATGCCCTTAATCACGTCATAAAAGTTGGTTGGCCCAAAAATCACATCAAAGTTGAGGAACGTTTCTTGAAATAAACACACACACACACACACACAGAGTCTAGATCTCCTTCATGTATTTTATTATTTTTTTGTTATTTTTTAACGAAAAAATATCACTTTCATTTCAAAATTTTTATTACTAGCTTTTTTCACCTGAATATTATCACCAATTTGCGGTCAAGAATATATTGATGCCAATAATAGACAAAAACTAAAAGCGATTTTATACAAGGCCTTAATAATGAAGTTTCTAAGAATAAAAGAAGACAATATAAAATAAGTGTAAAATAAATTAATAGGATTGAGTCTAGTAGAATGAGTTCCACGACCACAACATAGTAAATTCAGGTTTTAATTCCCATCGGTAGATATATTCGCATTTAATGTACAATAATATACTCTAAATAGAATTGTTTCCAATAAAAAAATTCATGTGTCTAGTTAAAAAACAGTGTAAAATAGCAAAATAAATAGAAGGTCTAAAAGTCAAAGAAAAATGATCGTGCGAACTTGGGCCAAATCAAGCTTTAATCCCTCATAGGCCAGACACTGGACTGTACGATTTTTCAAGTTAGTTTTCTTGGGGATTGATTTTAATATGTCCCAAATTCAGTTTGGGCTAAAAGCTGTAGGAAAAATAACCAAAAAAAAAAAAAGGTTAGAAATTACAGTATTCCAATTCAGGCACCTTAGAAATCAAAATTTCAAGGGAGGAGGTAGTGTCTGATATGGTATTTTGAAAATGTAATCAAATGACTAAAATACCTTTATATTATATTTCTTTAAAAACAAAGTTATCAAACTTGTTATTACTAGTACATTGTTTGTTATTGGTTTTTCAATACTTGTTATTACCATTTCACAACTTATTAATAAATAACTTGTCATTGCTAATACATTTCTTGTTATTTTTTGTTCAACACTTGTTATTGTCAATTCACAACTTATTAATAAACTTTTTGATGCAAGGGAATTTTTGTCATTTAACTACATTTGCAAAATACTATATCATGTATCAATTCCTTCCTTGCGATTTTGATCTCTTAAGTGCCTGAATTGGAATATTACAATTTTCAATTTCTTTTTATGTTATTTTTCTAAAGTTGTTTCTTTTCAAAAGGGTTAATATAATTTTTGGTCTCTAAAATATACACCTACTTTGGTTTTAGTCTTTCAAATTTCAAACACATAATCTTAGTCCCTTGAATTCACTCCGTCCTAAAATGTCAATCATTAGAGATATAATGATATTAAAACTTGCTTAAGTATCATAAACGGTGTTAAAGTCGTGATATTAACTCACCAGATAACATCTAGTTAGATCTTGTGTGAATAACAAAAAAAGGGTAAAAAGAACAGGTCTTCAAAATGCAGCTGTTTAGTCCTTCTTTTTTTTTTTTCCTTTCTCGTTGCTTGTTTAAGGAGTTGCTCGCGTTTTAATAACTCATCCCCTCTATATAATCATTGTGTTAGCCATATCATATAATGAGTCAACATAATCACTTTAACACTGTTTACTATATTTCAACAAAAGGATAATTAATATGCATATCCTTCTAGTTTCAATTAGGTCCCTATAACTTTTTTTCTTCCTTTTTATCAGATCTTTATTATTTCACATGTTTTTAATCAAGTCCTTATTGTTTTACTTTATTTTTAATTAGGTCAGTTTTTATTCTTTATTCTATAAATAATAATATTCCATAAATAATAAATTATTATAATAATCTTGTGTTAATATTCTTTTAAATTTTAGTTAAACATACATATTATTTATTTTTCAATTCTAATTTTTATAATTATAAAATTTTCTAAAATTAGAATATAATTATAAACAAATTATAGATAAGTATAATTGATTATTCTGATTAATTATTAATTACTAAATGATTATATTAATTACTTTGTCCAATTATATAATTGCTAATTTAAAAATGAAATTAATTTTAAAGAATAAAGTTAATAAATAATTTTTTTAAAACTAGAAAGGACTTAATTAAAAAATAAGTGAAACTATAAGGACCTGATAAAAAGAAAAAAAAGTAGAGGGACCTAATAAAAACACACATGAAAGTAAAAGGATTTAATAAAAAGAAAAAATTTTATAGGGACCTGATTAAAAATCAGATAAAACTATAATGACTCGGAGATTAATTATCCCTTCAACAAATGTTAACATTACATTTTCAAGGACTAATGTTTTAAGACGAACTAAATTTCAGGAAATAAAATCACATGTTTGAATTTTGAGCTACCAAAAACAAAATGGGCTCAGATTTCAGAAACCAAAAATCATATTAACTCTTTTGAAAATTTGAGTTCCTTATTCGGGCTTTCATAGATATATTTTGGGGTCCTTATAGGTTTGAGTGGCTGCCCATCAAATTTAATCAAATGTCATTACATCAATCCCTTTTAAGAGAGGTGTTCACATTTAGTGTCTAATAATACATCAAATAAAAGAATACCTATGCATAGCCAAACAAAAACATATAGTCTATAAAAAGGGGTAAAAATTGTTGCGCATCCCCATATAATCAAATATAATTTGTGAAAGTCCCTTGAACTCTGAACATGTCATGATCTATTATCATTTCTTACGCCAAAGTTTGTCCTTACTATGCTCTTGTTGTGAGACTTTTTAACGATAATTTTATAAAAGGGTGATGGGACGGAAAATGAATTTTGGAAAACATGAAACTTAGAAATTAAAACAGGTGAATAAAAAATTAAATTTTGAAGGGAAAAAAGGAGGGAGAATAACAGAAAAAGATGCTGAAAATTGCAAATTCCAAATTAGGTTTGGTAGCACAACTTTATTTGGTATTGACAATTTTAAATTTGCAAATAATAACAAATTTTTATTAACATTCCTTATTTGACATTTACAAATTTTCACCTTCTTTTGGTGTCATTGTCCCAAAAAAGGAAGAATTCTAATTAATCCAATTGAAATACATAAATCCAAATTCAAGTCTACACTTTTAATAAATTTCTAATTAGGTCATAAGGTCTCATTAGAAATTTCTGAATATTGTTAAATGTCTAGAATGCCCTTCTGTAATCTTACCCCTCCCAAATAGTTTCTCTTTTCTTGATTATTTTTTGAAACTAAAAACACAAATAATTTTATAATATTTAAATCTTGTATATATAACTAAAACCTTTAAAAATATTTTAATAAAAAATTTTAAATTACAATATAAGTGCAATTCAAATAAATATTTTGCATTTTCAGGTTGTAAATATTTATTTTTAAGACTTTAAAATATCTTAATTATAAGAAATATTCTATATTAAATTGTTGCAAATTACATTTTTGGGTTGAAATCTAATGTTTGCAGAAATAAATAAAAATAATGTAAATTATACATAATATTAAATATTTTTTGTAATTAAAATATTTTAAGATCTTAAAATAAATATTTACAAATATAAAATAAAAATATTTATTTTAAGGCTATTTATGCTGAAATTTAAAATGTTTTATTAAAATATTTTTGAAGATTTTGGTTATATATACAAATTTTAAACACTATACAATTTTTTATTTGTTTTTTGGTCTTAAAAATAATCATAAAAGATCAGAGATCACTTAGGGGAGTAAAATAATTAATTTTTTATTTTAATTAAAGAGAGACATTCTTGTCATTTAACGACAATTAGAAATCCTAAATTAGAATTCATGTTTTAATTAGAAATTTATTAGAAGTATAAGCCTTAATTTGGATTTAGGTATTTTAATTGGATTTTATTGTGATTTTTTCCCCAAAAAATAAATTAAATTATAATAAAACTTTCAATGTTTAAGTTTCCCATGTTTTTCCCCCGCAAAATCAGCAAAATCATCTGACAGGATTTGGCTAATAAGTACTATTTATATCATATTATTTACTATATATATAATTTGTTAAATATATCCTTTATTATATATTATTACAATTACTTTTTTTTAAAATAATTATTTATCTTATATGCAAAATATTGGGTATTTATTATTATTTGACATTTATTTCATGCCTTTATTTTTATTTTTATTCAAAATAGCTAGTACAGAATTTAAAACATAATACTTTAATTGTTACCAATCTGATCACGGATTAAACCCCCATTAACCCACTAACTCACTAACCCTTAACTCAAAATTTTGACCGGTTTACTGACCAGTCCAATTTTTTGTTTCTTGATCAACACTATAATTTAATAATGGTTAATTAATAGTTAGGTGGGTAAAAGTTGAATCACAAAACTATAAGGAAAGATTATGCAACATATATTTTGGTTTTCAAAATAAAAGAGAAATTTCTGTAACTGTAA